AGGACATGGGATTTCTGAAGCATTTTTATATGCTAGGTGCTGGCTGAGTAATTTTGTAATAATACAAACAACTTTGTTTTGAAAGTACCTAATACTGAAAGATAACAGCAGTGCTTTCCATACTGGACACATCACAATTCCCATCAGCCATCTATACAAACAGTTTACATTGAACAATGTTGGCTTCCTATCAATTTATTTAAAATACAGCTATCAATACTTTGGTCGTATAGGAATCTTCCAAGACATCCACAGCTAGCCTTATTTTAAAAATATGCAGACTGTAGTTCTTCACTACTGTACAGGAAATATATCTACATCCTACAGCCTACTAATAATAACAGGAAGATGATTTGTAAAATCTTAGCAAAATTCTTTCCTCCAGTGATGCTGGAACAGCTTCACTGTCTGTAACAGAGCTTTTCCAGTCTCCCCCCAGCTTAAATGGCAGCAGTATACTGTCTGTTAACATGGAGAAGTCCAAAAAGACTTCCTCGAAAAAGACCCCAGTTACCTTCATGCACTGCTTATACTGAGCTAAGTGAAAAATTGTCTGTAAACCTCCTAACAAAAACTGTTGCTTTAACTGTATTTCTACACACTGAAATGTATCTCTATTACATACTTACTGAAAATAAAGACTGCAGACAGTGAAGAGGAGACTTTCTAGAGATCTTGTCAATACCTGTAAAGGCTTTCATGCATTGTATACTGGAGGTGAATTTTCTAAGGCATGTAAGTATAAAATTATGTATATCCCACAGTGCGGTAAACTGAAAAGCAAGCTTGTGCCAGAAGAAGCAATAGAGTGTGTCAGCATGGTGTTGCGGCTGGAGTATTTGGCATGTTGAGAGGCCTGGCTGACTATCCTGCTATCATGTCACAGCAGCACAGCTGGACAGCTTTCAGTGCAGAGCCAGGGCTGTTCATGAATTTTATGTTGACATTTTCATGAAAAATTCAGGAACTTTTGGGGAGATAGGGATGGAATTCAAGACAACTCTCTCCTTAGAGAATGCCATTCTCATCAGCTAACCAAACTACCTCTTTTTCCATCTCTTCCTGGCCCCAATTATGTTACCTTGCCTGGGGCACAGCATAACTTCCAGGGAGTGGGAAGTGCCTCTGAGCTGACCTTCTTTGCCTCTCATCTAACTGATGGGACAAGGAGGGCTTAAGCACCAGCATCACTTTAAACAATCCAACAAAAATTTATATTTCTACAGCTACCAACAGCTTCTGAAAATGTTGCCAGAGATCTTTCATTCAAACCTTACAAGGTGTAGAGTACAACTGCTTTCAAACACTCCTGGTGTATCTGGGATTTGTGAACAGTTATTTGTGATCCTGGCATGGTGTTCTGAGCAGAATAAGACTAGAGATAGACCGAAATCTCCATTTTTGCCCAGCTAGCCTTCACTACAGTCTCTCAAACAGCATTCATGACTACCGAGCACTGTCAGACCCACATGCTGGCGAAAGCGGATAACTAATAAATTTTCACACATAGTGCCTATACTTCTCATGCTTAACGTTATTTCACACGCTCATTACGCCTAGCAGAGAAATTTACTTTTCCCCAGGTACTTACAGCTTCATAGTCTGCTAGCTCTAGCCTTGCTTTGTTTTGCATTGTCCGCTTGCAGAGGTAAACAGCTGGAACAGAATAAAATAACGCAGAGTTTGCTACCATCTCACAAACACAGCAGACAAGAAATCTAGAGGCTTCATATCTATTTTACTGCTAGCTTTTTTTGTTTTGAGTTCTCCCTCTATTCTAAAAAGATTTAAATACAGGATCAATGCTACCAGTATTGTAACTAAAATGATGGTCAGATACAGAGATTCATTAAATAATTATAAAATCTGCTTTATGCAACAGACATCATATACAAAATGCATGAGATACTTGAGGTGAGGTTGTTTGATGGCCAGAGAAGTAGCACATTAAGGAAGAAATGGCAAAAATATTTTTTAAACTGTGTGTGTATGACTCATAATGCTTAAGAGTTTTATCAGGAGTGGCCGCTATATTAGTCAAATAGGTTATTAAGAACTGCGTATACACGGTTTTATTTATTCTTACTTTATATTTAGAAATTACAAAATTTAGACCTAAGAAGATTTTAGCTAAAAATTAATTCCAGAAAAAAAACAAGCCTTACACAGATTAGTCTGCTATAACCAATATTTAAAACAGAAAACAATGTGAGATCAAAAAATGAAAAAAGTGTATTATGTATAAGATATAATGAAAAAAATATTCTTTTATTTATTGACTAGATCCAAAATCCTTCATCAGAGCTGTTCTGCCTCTACCTCATTCAGACAGAACAGAATCTTAACTAATAAAATGGAATGCTGACAACTAAATACTGAAAGGATGCAGGGATGAAAATGAAAGTTCAGACTGCATAAACAGCACAATGGTTTGCATCATGTTGCTTGATCCTGAATTCTTTATGCACTCCTTTACCCTTGAATGAAGTACTTTTCCAATAGACTGTATTTAGTAACAACTCTGAATATTGTACAGCTTCCTCCACCAGTAAGACAATGACTGTAGCACAATTCCTTATTGTGCAATATTTACCACTTTATTACTTCAGAGCACCTTCTTCTATGTGAAATGGGGGAATCTTTTGATCACTGTAGGTAAGAAAACCTTATCTGTGGTGTCTACAATCAGCAAAAGCAGCCCATATTTCCTGGTTGTGTTTAGGAACGTTCCTGCTTCCTGACTGCCAGCTTGTCCACTACAGGAGCAAAGAGTAACAACTTCACATAGGAACCTAACTCTTGCAATCACAAATCAATTAGATTTTACAACTCCATGGAAACATTTATTTCTGACAAGTCACCTGCAAATGCATGCAAACCCACTCCACTGGGTGCTATTTCAGTGGAACTGATGACAAGCACTTCTAATAACTCTAGCTGAAATGTGCTGTAAAATGAAGTTATATTTTAATGCAGTTTTTGTTTTCCTCCCCTTTCCTCACTCAGTTTGTGTGTGTTATCTGGTCTATTTTCTTTCATACTTTTCCACTTTCCACTCCCGTAAGAAGGCATGGTCTGTCCCTCTGTTCCCTGCACTCCCATATCCCTTCTGGCTCCAAAGCAATTTCTGTGACTACAAAATCTACAAATACAGATACAAATCCATGTCACACACCAAGTATAGCAGACAAACAGTTTCTATAGCCTCAGCTTCCATGCATTTAAACATTAGTGTACACTTACACTAATGCATTGGCATGCATGCTGAAATGTCACAAAAAGATGAGGAGACAAATTCTGGACCCTTTGTACATAGATTGTATCCACAATCAGTAGAGTGGTAAGAGAATACTGAGGAGAGAGATGGTCTTGGTCACTGAGTGCCTTTTACAGTGAAGCATTTTCCTCTCTTTTCCTCCAAAATTGGTTATTTCGTTGAACAAAAAAACCTCTAAACCCTAATATTTTCATATTAGCAATATAATACATAATTAATAGAAATATGTAGGCAGTTCTGAGAATTCCAGGGGTCAACTTTTGTCTAGTCCAACTAGTCTAATACCATCAGAATGGAAACAAAACAAACTCCCTGTTCTTTGCACTCGGTTAACCACTTCCTCATGGTCCCTGTACAGACACCTTTAGTTATCTTAGCACTTCCTTGGGTCCCATTGTGGGTATGTTTTGGGATTAGCATCTCCTGCTACATCCAACAAAAATCGTTGCTGCAGAGGCAGCTGACTGTCCATCTTTCTGCCAGGATAGGTTTTAACAAAAGAGCATCTTCAGATCACAGATTTGTCAATACCAGCAAAACAACCAACAGCTCACCAGAAGAAGGAGAGAGGAATTAACTTGCCACACTATTAATGTAATGCTATGTCTAAGAAAACTGTCTTCCCTATATGACTGTACTACAGTGTTTTTCCTGCAGGGTTCTTTTAAAGACCTTTTTCCTCCAATTCCATAGCAAATAGTCCGTACAAGAATATTTGTTTTTCATTATGAGCACATCTTAGTCAAGACTCAAATCTATTCATCCCTCAGACATTTTTTCTTTGGAATATCCATATGACCCCCTGCTTCAGGAGCCTAAAGGTTATAATACCTGTGGCTTGGATTCTTTATGTCAGAAACGTTTCCATGTGCCAGTGTGGGTAACACAGAATAGGCTCAAGAAAGATTTAGTTATTTGGGAAATATGACATATCCACTAGCATAGAAGAAAATAGTCCTGAAGGACATTCCTACTCTTTGACTCAATTTACTGCCATTGCTAACAATTATTATAGAAGTGCATGTTTGAGGATCTATTTAAGAGCTACTTGTAGTCACACGAGAAGCTGGCAGAAGCTCAGGAATTTGAGTTCACCAGTTCACACTCTTGTTATGATATTCTTTGGCTTGCCCATAACAAAATTGCCTGTAACTACCACGTTGGAAAGCAAGAAGAATCTGAAAATTGCTCTTATTTTCAGTCAGAACATTCGAAGACACAGAGAAATGAGCTTTTGTTCTTCTGACTTCTAGAGGAATGAGATCTGAAATACTGATACTCCCATCTTTCACAGGTACTACTCCTTTTCTGCAGGAAAACTTCTGTGAAGTAACTGCATGTGTCCAGCAGCCTGACCCTGAGCAGCTGAGGAGGATGTCAGTTTCCCTCTCAAAGCAGAGTCATGAGCCTTCAGCATTTCAGAGAACGGTAGTGTCTGCTTTTCTAATCCCATGGTTTATATGAATTGTCTGTGTTTTTACAGCTTCACATAGAAGTACAATCTGCATGAAGGGGCTCCAACTAAAAGCTCCTCTATTTCTTCGTATAGTTCTTTATTTATCTGCCCCCCAAAAGTCCTGGTCAGGGCCCTCATTACACCAAGGAGCTGTAATTGCCCTGAGCAGCCCATCCAGGGTCTCCACTGAGGCCCCCTGCACCCAGGAGCTGTGCTTAAGCCCAGCTACTTCTCCTGGCCCCAGCTTGAGCTACGTCATAGATATGCCTCTAACCAGCCCTGTAACTTATCAATGCTGCCCTGGCTTCCCGGCTTGACCTTGGACTTTCCTGGTCACTTGAGACTCTGTTGGTGAGGACATTACTCCTGCTTTCACTGTTGCCACCCTCAGTTCTTGCTTACCTTCCCTTGCAGAGCTGCCCGCTCTTGTCGCTCCCTGACAAGGGTGCTGAAAAACGCTTAACACATGGATGAATGGTACGCATGGGACAGGGTCTGATTAATAACCTCAAATTGCTAAATATGGACTGCACATACACTCTTATTTTTAGAGCCAGTATATTCTGATGGATTTTGCAATCAACATAATTGCCTCCACTAAAGTGAATTATATATTAGATGCTATAGTTTGTGCTTTAGAAGTGACTGATTATCATGAGAAAACAGATTTGCCAATAATTTTAAAGGCAATATTAATATTCAACATTTCACAATGAAAGATGGTCAGTGATGTTTATAAAAGGGCATTTGAACCACAAACCAGTACTAAAACACACTTTGGTAGATGTGCAGTAAATAGACTACTCTTGAAAATTTTGTTCAGGCATTCACAAAATGAGGGCAATGTGAGAGCTTAAAGTGAGATTGAGACGTGTTCTAGTGAGAGTTGCATGAAGAGAATGTCTGGGTTTTCCCTCTCGCAAGTTTTTAAACTGTTACACCCAAAATAACCCATTTTCATGGTTAGATACCTTTGTTTCCTATTCTGGACTGTTCACTTGCACTTGAAATCTCCTAAGAAACCTCTATAGATTTTTTTCTTTAGATAAGATCATAGTGATATGACAGATTTCAATCTAGAATCAAGACACTGGACTGAGTACACATTATATTACATATACTTAACCGAAAAGCCCCAGACCTTTCACCCAAAAGTTAAACTGGGGAATTTAATCTTGTTGCTAAGCAGGGGCTAAATCTTCCCTCTCACCACAGCAGAGAAAAAGGCTCACATAAATTCAATGGAAGTACAAGTGGGCCTCTGAAGACCATGGATAATGCCACCTACACATCCACCACCCTGTACACAAACCTAAGCTCCTTACATAATTGTTGCAGTGCCAGTGGTGTTACAGCTTGATTCAGCCCCAGATGGTGGGCGTAACTTTCAGTGAACACTCATTATCTCCACTGAGGCCAGATTAAATTTACACCCTCTGCAAATAAAAATTCTGGTTTCAGAGTCAGTGTGTACATGCCTAGTCAGTATTTAAAGAGCAAAGAAAATAGAAAGTACTGGAAGGTCTAGGGGTTTCAAAGTGCCCTGTGAAGACAGTTCTCCCTCCATATGCGAGTGCCTGAGTCAGATGGAGAATTACAGGACAATCAGCACAGAACATGACTGCAGGATGGAGAGAATGAAACCAAATATCTTATTTAAACAACAGGATTTCTAGGGCTATTTATGCCATCTTTAGGTCATCTCTGCTTTTACTCAATAAAAAAAAATTAATTTTTGCTCTTTGCAACAGCTATTGAGTCTTTAAAAAAAAAAAGATGACAACTTTTAAGTGGACAAATGGGTCACCAATCAGCTTCATGTACCTGTAAAAGAACTACACTCTTTAGTAAATGCTAATAACATTAATTTAGAAGGAAGACCATGATAGCTTATGTGCACTATATTGCCAAATGGTCA